ACAAACTATTTCGACGGGGAATGCAAAACCGCAGAATTCGTATTTGATGCATTGTAAGGGAGGCTGAGAGCGGTCGAAATATTCCGCGTAGATAATCCCACGAAGTAGCCTGGATAGTCAACGAAGGGGATTGGGAACAAAGAGCTGAAGTCGGGCTACTGGCGAACACGAGCACGACCGACGACGGCGAAAGGGTATGTAGGATGGTGCAGGGCATCCCCCATCCGCGACGTGCCTGGAGCCCATGAACGTTGTACTGGTACAGGAGCAACGACGAAAAATGCACGCGGTTATAGACTTGCATACCAGGATACTCTTCATACACTTCACGTCATTCCACATCGATGGGCAGTTGGAGCCCCTGCGCGCCAATCGAAGGTGTTCGGTTCAGTTTGTCAGGCGTCCTCATGAGATGTGGAGAAGGACACTATCGCCCGTTTGATGAAATTTTGATTTGCCTGATCGTTGCTTGGAAAGATTATGCACATGAAACCGCCGTACGATAGCATGCATCCAGAGAATTCAAATCCTTGTGAAGAGCCATATAAATTAAAGATGACTTGCAGCGCGAACAACGAACGACAGGGTGTTGATAGCGGACCAAACCAATACTATTTCAGTACCCGTACTGTACTCCCACCGCGCCACGATGCTTGTGTAGATTTGCGGAGGGGAGACATGATACAGACGACGATGGAACTTAAGGCTCATCGAAGTTATATATTCGGCACAGTTCTAGTGATATGATTGGATATCAAAGTTCGAAATACGAAAAATATTCTGACCAATCAGGATTCAAATATGATAATTTGCCCTTCCATAATTCAAATTGAAGAGGTCACCAAGTATACATTGACGACATCGTATTTTAACGATAACTCAATCAATACTGCTCCGTTTTCGCTCAAATCGGTGCCAAAATCACCGCCTTGACGGGACCTATCATTTGCACCTATTTTGAAAATGATTGAAAGCCAATAATTGCAAAAAACGAACGAGAAACCCAAGCCGACCACTAGTTAGACTACAGCTTAGGAATGGCTTTCAAGTAGCTACTACGTACTTCATCCTCCGTGATAAGCTTGAAAGCTCTTATGGCACGCTTGATCATTGTAAGGCACTTGACATGAGCATTCGGGGACATCCAGGCTTCGTCGTCGACGTCATCGTCATGCACCATGTCTTCTGTGACCCACAAGTTCCGCATGTGCTTCTTGAATAGTGCCAAAATAGACATGTCCAGTGGTTGACAATGTTAGGTAGCGTTTGGGGGCTACGCGCATACATTCACGCCGATGCTTTCCGCTGACGCAACACTCTCCTTGTTGACGTGGCATTCGAAGTTGTCCAGCACTAAGAATGATTGGGCTTGAACTTCTTCAGCGAGCGCGAACCAGAGGTAGTGTTGCCACACAGATCTGTCCATCCACGCCTTTGATTGCATTGCGTAGAAGTGGCATTGTGGATACGTTGGAAACTCACGTCGTTCAATCAAGCCACCAGGTTGGCCCTTGATGACGAACATGATTGGCATCTTCTCTCCATCACGTCGAATGGCCAAGACCGCAGTCATTCTGTACGAGTGTTTTTCGCCGGCCGACAGCTTTGCGTTGCCTCCACGGCGAGACCAGATGTAACGGGGTGGCATGTCGTACTGGATTCCTGTTTCGTCCACATTGTAGACGCAATTGTCAGGGTACGTACCATAGTCTCTATGAAAGCGTGTTGCGAACTCATTACGGGTGCTTTCGATGTCGCTGATAACCTTCTTGGATCTGCAGGCTTGTTGACGAGTGTATCCGTTTCGGCGACAGAATTCTTGAAGAAGCTTCAAGAGGTGGTGGTATCCGCGTCCTTGCTTTTGGCTGGTAGGGTACTGTGTCACCCACTGCTGGTGGTGTTTCTTGAGGAAATTGACATGTGCGTGCACGTCAAAGCTCGCTCTTGAGTCCGACGGGCGTCTATGAATGACAAGAGCTTGTCAGGTTCGGGCAGTATGGTGTGCCATCGTCGTACTTGCAAGTGATATACAGTCTGTCCGGAAACTATAGACGCTGGTGAAATTTGGCAGTTTCGAGTTGTTGGAGAGTGAATTATCTTAAGCCCTTTTGACAGCGCATGCTAAAGGAAACAAAACCGTGATAGCCACATGACCTGCAACCAAAATTGAATTGACAAAGTCAAAACACTGACTCTTCTAATGTGACGGTGTCCACAAATTATAGACGCAGTGACGTAAACAGGAATTTCAAATTCAATATCAACACAAAATATGGCCTAAATAGACAGATGCGTTGGTGCGCAATAATCGACATCTGTTACATCGCAGGTGGCCATTCAATCATTGCTTTCATGTCAAGGGCGACCAAACTGACCAAACTGACCGAGCGCGAGGTTGGTGCCATTCTTGCTCGAAAGCAAGATGGCCTAAGCAACCGAGAGATTGAAAGGGCCATTGGACGAAGCGAAAAGGCTGTTAGGACAGTCCTGGTCAACGAGAGGAACCCGCAAGCAAAAGCAAAAGTCGGTAGGGCGTCCAAAATGAAAAAACGGAATTGTTCGTCGGATCTTTCGACTTGCCTGTGTGAAAGTCATATCATCTAGAGCTATTGCAATAGCAGTAGAAAATGTTGTCCACATGACTACGGTTCATAATGATCCTCAAGATGTCAAAGTTTGCGAAGTACATCAAACGAAAGCCAACTCAGCACTTCAAGAAGCACCATAAGGTTTCCCGCATGCGTTTTGCGAAGTCGCATCTCAATAACCACGACTATTGGCGTCGCGTCGACTTTACAGACGAAAAAAAATTCAACATGGACGGCCCTGACGGCTGGCTGTATTAGTGGCACAATCTGCGGAAGGATCCCGAAACATACTCGAAGCGCGTTATGGGCGGCGAGTCCGTGATGATTTGGGCCGGAATATGTGCGAGCGGGAAGACTGACCTGGCCATCCTCAAAGGCAAGCAGAACTCCGACAAGTACAGCCAAACGCTTCGTCAATTTCTGCTCCCGTTCATGCAAGTGCTGCGAGAGAAGCATGGCGTCGTGGACCCAATTTTCCAGCAGGACAACGCGAGTACACACTCATCTCGCTACACTATTGAGTACCTCGAACTCAAGAACGTCAACATCACCGAATGGCCTGCCAAAAGCACCGACTTGAACATCATTGAGAACGCCTGGGGTGTTCTGGCGCGGTCTGTGTACCGAAATGGCAGACAATTTGCCACAACGGCCGATTTGAAGCGTCAAATTGCCATATCATGGGAAGAAGTGCGTTTGGACTACCTCAAATTTTAAGTAAATGACATGCCTACAAGAATGGCTGAAGTCATCCATCATTCGTGCAGGGGCAGGAATTGATAGATAAATGTCGAAAATTCAGTGCGTCTATAATTTATGGCACCACCATATTTCAAAAGTCAAGTTTTTGATTTTGTGAATTCGATTTTGGTTGCAGGTCATGTGGCTATCACGGTTTTGTTTCGTTTAACATGCGCTGTCAAAAGGGCTTAGAATAATTCACTCTTCAACAACTCGAAACTGCCAAATTTCACCTGCGTCTATAGTTTCCGGGACGACTGTACATTTAAACTTGCCTGTTGCCATCCCAAAGTTGAATTTCGCGTGCTTGATTGGTCCAAATGAACAAGCGCGCCAAGACCTTCCGATTCATGTGTCAATGGGAGGGATGTTCGCAGGAAAATCGACCAAGTTCCTCTCGAATTTTGCATACTTTAACAATTAAGTCTAAGGCCAACCTTCAACTTGTGTAACGGCAAGCGTGACCTGACAAACGAAGACCATGAGGTCATCCTTCGAGAAGTCCTGCTCAACAGCAACACGACCTCCAGTGCTCGATTGCCCAACGGTATCTCAAATCTGTTAACGAACAAGTACAGCTGTGACCACTCTACTATCTGCAGAGTGTTCGCCCAGGCCAGGCAGCAGTAAGTTGTGGACGGCAAGATGAAGGTGTCGGTTACCATCAGAAAGAAGGGCAAGGAAGGTAGAAAGATGGTCTACACTGCTGAAAAAGCAAATGCCAAGTTAATTCAAGTACCCGTCCGACGCGCTGCAGAACGAAACCATGGCCAAGTGCAAGTGTCTTGGATGGTCGATGTCGCTTGCACCACAACATTCGAATCCCTCCGACACAAAGTTTTGGACTAGATTTTCTTCGCACCCTTCCAGTCCCTACAACACCGCAGTCAGTAAGCAGCATCGACGTGCTCGCAGCCGAGCTCAAGGTGGCCCGTTGCATCGAAAAGATGTCCCAGGCACTGGAAGTCATTGTCATGTGTGATGGTGAGTCGAGTGATGTCATTGACGTCATGAGAGAAGTTGGAATCGCACCAATTAGTGTAGATGATGAGGAGTAAGCGCGTGCAGGTGTGTGTTGGTCTTGTGGATGGCCCGTGTGCTCGTTAGGAGGGTTCTGTTGGTAAACCCCTCTCCTGAATCGATTGGTGAGCGGCAATTCCAATTTCCGCCTATTGATTGGTTGTGAGACACGCGATTTGCGTGCTATGATTGGGCAAACGTAACTGTATAAGATCATAAATACGTGTTCGACATTACAGTATTTTTATTCGGGGAGGCATACGTCAAAATTCTGATTGGCGCAATTATCTTGGAATGAAGGGAGTATGCCTGAGTGTTCCTTATCACGAATGTAATGGTGTGGGGTGAAAACATGGCTAAATATCTAATACCAGCGCAGAAAATAACGCGAGATTGTTGAATTCGTTTGAGTATTAGGTATTTCTTCAGGCATCCATGAGACGAACCATCAACAGGAACACTGCTTCATGTTGTTACTGGCTGGGTTTGATATCATTCATAAATCGGAGGTCGTGTAAATCGTGGATCTCTGACCTATTTCCTCTGTTTCATAAATCTGGCGACTTTTGAAAAACTCACATTTCACATTACTGGGGACATATCCCTACTGTTGGCTCAAATTGAAATGTATGCATTTTATTGGTTAGAAAATCACTGGGCCAACAAGGTTGCTGGGCAGGTAACCTTGATTATGAAGGTCCCGGCACGTCGCAGATCATCCTTCTTCAAATGAGGTAAGCGAAACTGATTGCCGACATTGTGTTCAATCACCAAGCACATGACTATCTGAAGCGTTAGGTACACGTTCTCGATCTTCTCCGATGAGAGCGCCTGGAAGGCCGCCAAGGTCGAGAGAATCACGCCATCGATTGAGCGACTCACCATTTTGTATCGTGCGACTGGATCGACGCAAAAAAAGCCAAGATCAAGAACGTTCAGGTCCGGGCTGTTGGGTGGTTGGCGCCGCTCGACAAACGTCCACCCATCAGTGGAGACGCTCGCCAAGACCTCCTCGTTGGTGATAGCACGGTGTGGCGTGGGGTTGTCGTGCTGGTAGACCACGCGCTGGTTAGCGCTTGGGAACAGAGCCTTGATAGCAGGTACGACTCGAGTCGTCATAAATTCACGGTACACAGCAGCATCAACGTTCACCAATGTAGCCTCGAGCGCGCCAATTGGGCGGTTGCGGGAGTTTCGGAGGGTAGGCAAGTATCTGTCGAAGGGCCACATCCCGATCTTCCCTTCGAAACTGAACCCTCGCTCGTAGTCGTGCCGAGGACGCGCGACCACCGTAAGGAACATGACCTTTGCGAAGAACTCCTTGGTTTTGGCAGCGCGTCGCTGGCCATTCACAAGGTAAACTTTTCGTCGATCGATGTCCGCATTGAACCATTTCTCGTCCAGATGAACATCATCCCACATGCTGTCGAACTCGAACATAACAGGCTAAATCGGGGTTACATGAAACCTACTTCGCCGGCGGAATTCGTGAGCGCCAAAATTCAATGCTCTCGACCGTGTCGGTGAGAAGCGGGTTGGGCTGGGATGACTTGCGCTCAATCGTGCCGACGCGGAGCTTGCGATGGTGTGTCCCGATGTTCGTTCCTGTAGCAACGGACATGTCGCTCAACGTTGCTTGCTGTTCATCAGGTACACCCATGACGAGGTTCGTGACGTGATCTTTCGTGTAGACCATCTTCAAACCGACGCGGCTGGGCCTGGAGGAGGGCATGCGAGCGTTTCGGCGGAACGTGTGCCATATCTTGGACACGGTAGTGCGGTGGAGGCGTGTCTCCGTTGCAGTCGAGTTGATGGTGCCACGCGCCAACTTGCCTTTATCAGCGAATTGCAGAAGGCGAGTGATGACCTCCATTTTGGTCTCATACGAGAGCTCAGTCCGACGCGCGAAATGTCCATGTAATGTCCATGTGTTGAGGTCCTGATGTCTCGTAATTGTGGAAAGTGAACCAATGCTTTATTATACTTCGCTGACGACCGGAAACGAAATCAAATTTGGGCGTAAAAACTACGTTTCCATGTTGTCCATTCAATGCAGACTACCTCTAACTTTTGATTGTCTTTCGAACGTGATATGACAAATGAATTTTGGACTAAAAATGAAATTTTGCGGTCGCTCAGTTGAGAAATGTCGCCAGATCTGTGGAACAGAGGAAGTAGTGATTACTTATTATTGGAAATACTATGGGATAATTACAATTAATCGGATTTGCTGCTCATGAAAACATCAACTGATCCAATGCTTTACTGACAAACCAAAAGGACGATATGGATTTTGCGGTAATGAACAATTTTCTATTGGTTACCGCCAAAACCCTTGATGACATCCCTACACAAGGCCCACACAATGTGAATCAATATGGTCTTAAACGTTGCTTCAGCGCCTACATTTGCAGACTGTATCGAACCAGACGTAGCTCAAGGAGTGCCTTCATGACTACAGCGAGTTCGAGAAGGAGACATAATGCTTGGCCTCCTACGACAATCCTGTCATCGACAAAGTCATGGAGGTGGAGGTGGGTGGTAACGCGGTATTCAAATCCTCTACCAACTTCACGTCGAAGTAGTTTCACACGTTACGTTGTTGAATCTCCTCTGAGCCCGTCATTGATACCAATAATCTTAGACATAATTTGTTCCTTAAAATTGGATGTCGAATAGGATATTTGGACAAGGTTTTCTTTTTACAGCAATTTACGCCTATATATATGTTGTATTGCATTAGCATAATGAATTGTGTTTCTCTATGGCTCGTCGATGTTACATTTTGTGTTCATAAAGTAAATATTTTCTT